TACAGCTCCTCTCATCACCTAACACCCCTCCCCACAACTCCCCTCATCTCCTAACACCTCTGAATCCCCCCTCCCACAACTCCTCTTACCGCCTAACAAAGCTCCCAATCCCCTATAATTCATCTTACACCGTCACTATTACTGTATTGCCTCGGCCCATACATTTTAGACTGCCCCAGCCTCTGCTCACCTCCCCGCACAGCACCACCAATTTCTTCTCCGGCTCACTTCCGGGTTGTGTCACCTCTAATATCTCCCCACCAGAAACAGAGAACGCGTAACTCGAGTCCCGCCCAAACACAGCTTGACCTGACGTCACTGCTCGGGGAGCCCTCTGCTGACACTGAGCCCCGCCCACCCAGGGACGTCATTTTTAAAATACAGAACGACTCTCATAACTGGAACACTTTAGACATTTCTCTTACATTACATATACTTTGGGCTTTATGTGTCTGTCTGTCAGGGTTGAATAATTTAGGACATTTCCGGAGACAGACGCTTCTACCAGTGTCAGTGAGAAGGGAATCTCTGAATCACGTGACATCCATATTCTGAGTCAGCAGCGTATCAGATGACTGCCCTCTGAGGAACGGATCCGCCCCTGCGCGTCACTTGACCACCCAGACCAGTCAGAGCTGCCAACAGTCACCAAGGAAGTAAGGGTTGCTAAGGGCGCTGGGGAGCTCTAGTCTGTGACGGACCGTGGCGGAAGTGGTTGGACAGAAAACTTCCGGTTGTCACTCTGCTACTCTGAACTGTCCCGAGAATCATGTCCGCCGATTTTCAGGGATACGAGCAGGACTATGGGGTCATCACCGCCGAGATCACCAACCGCATCGGCAAGATCCCCAAACTGGGCGGGGGTAGGGGCCGCTAAGTAGAGGTGGACAGTGACTCGAAGGAGACACTGACTGGAGGGTGACAGTGAGTAGAGGGGTACAGTTACTAGAGGTAGATGCTGAGTTTAGAGGGACAGTGACTAGATGGGGTCAGTGAGTAGAGTGGGGCAGTGACTGGAGGGGGATGCTGAATAGAGGGGCTCACTGATTAGTGGGTGATGGTAACTTTTAGGGGGGCAGTGACAAGAGGGGACACGGGGGTTGACTGGGACAGTAACTGTAGGGAGATAGTGACTGGAGGGGGACACATCGTTGGGGTACAGTAAGTGACTAGAAGTGGTCAGTGACTAGAGGTGGATGCTAATGAGAGGGGACAATGACTTGAAGGGATCAGTGAGTAGAGGGGGACTCTGAGTATTGAGGGACTGTAACTAGAAGAGAACAGTGATTGGAGGATCCTCTACATAGAGGGGTGCAGTGACTAGAGGAGGATACTGAATAAGGAAAAAACAGAGGGGATTCTAGCTAGAGGGAATATTGACTAGGGGGTGATACAGCCTGGGGGGAATGGTGACTAGGAGGACTTACAGACTATTGGGGGACAGTGACTGCGGTGGGGATTTGCACTGTACGGTAACACTGATCAGATACCTTCTGTGGATGTTTCAGATGAGAAGAAGCAGATGGTGATAAATGTGGAGAAGCAGCTGGAAGAGGCCAAGGAGCTGGTACGTGTACTGCGTGTGTATTGGATGTGTTATGACGTCACACGCCGCATTCCAGCGGCATTTCTCTCTATACACAGATCTGTGTCTGCAGAAAACGTCAATACTCCGCCATTAATCGTACGTGTACAGACCGTGGAGGAGGGGGCAATGTACACAGGAGGGGGCAGTGTGCACAGGAATGGGGGGGCGTACACAGGAATGTGCACCGTGCTGTCACCGCATGGTGAATGTATCCCATCATACAGTCGGTGTCACCTGCTCGCAGTATGTGCAGTGAACGCGGGGCGCAGTCCTCCACATGCTCTGTGTTGGGCTCAGCCGTCCAGAGCGTCCTCATGTGTACAAATGGACTCTTCATGGATTAGTTTTCTCTTGCGATGGGTCATTTTTCACAATCGCAGCTTTAAGAACTCTATGGGCAGAGTCACAAAGGACTCCCCGTCCAATGACTCTGATTACCAGGGATCGGTAAATTCTCATTTTTTTTTTTCTGCGTGTGGGGGAGCATGTGACCTCGGGCCTGAGCAGCCAGTCAGCAAGCCCAAACACCGGAAGAAGACAGTATAGCGGAAGTTTATCAAATGAGTAAACTAAATCTGAGATTGGAGGGGGGAGCTTGGAGCGGTGACTACTTTACAACACACACAGGGACCATGGAGAACACAAGTAGTCACCCTCCAGAAGGAAGGACAGTGTCAGAGATGATTGGAGGATCTACAGCCGAGCGATACACAAATAAGATACATTGAGGGGAATTCAGATAAGATATGAAAATGAAAGAGAGAAGCCGATTGGTTGCCATGGGCAACTTCTCCGGATTTTATCTGCTCCAGTTTTGATAAGTTCCCTTCATTGTTGTTAATAGCTCAGGTACCTGAATGGATTTGAACTCCGGAGTTTAGTGTCACTTTAAGATTTTTTTTTGTCTGTATAAAGAGGTGATACCAACCTACAGCGGAGGCACAATGTATAGAGACCTGTTTATGATCTTGGGCTGCTACCTCCGGTGGTGCACCGTTCAACGGACAATCCATAAGTGTGGGATTGGCTGCACCTGGTAAAAATGGTCATGTGGGCTGATAACTGGTATAAAATGTTAAAAGAGAACTAATGACAACCCCTTTTTTATTTTATTTTTTTGCTTTAGTCCCTTTTAGGGTCACAGGAGTAGATGTACTAATGTCCTCCTGGGAAACAAACTCAACATATAGCGGGCGGTAGCCGGCTATATGCTGACAGCGCAGAGCAATGCTGCAGCCGGGGACGATCCTGACAATATTGTCAGGATCCACCCTGCAGCTTGATTGACAGCTGGCTCTGCCTGTCTGGAGCCGTAGCCAGCTGTGCCCGCCCCCTCCCCCGTCTGTTTCTCCAATGAGTGCTGGAGGAATAGAGAGAGGGGAGGGGGGGGGGGGGGGGGGTATCCCTGCGGGGAGCAGTGACTGACAGGCTCCACTTGCTGCATAGGGAAGACAGTGAGCTGAGTGATCAGTGGTTTGTGATCGCTCAGTTCTCAAACTATAGAGCTGGCTTGTGATTCCTACAGTGTGACATGCTGGTTAAAGGGAATTGGGGAGAGTACATTTCACACTCCCAATACTTCCCCTTTAATTAAGAATAGCCATCACGTTTTAGGAGAAAGAACCTATCAAATGTAGTTTACATGGGATGGTGTTCATGAGATGTTTTGGGGCTTCACAGAATAGTGTGAGTGTATCCTCTTAGGTATGAAAGTATTTCCTGCACAGAACCTCCTGTGAAGGGATAATGACATCTCACCCATCAGACTGCAGTAGCACCTTCATCACCTCCCACTGATGGTGAGGAGACCTAGATGAGCAGACTCTGCAAGATGGTATATGGAGAATAATAAATATGGACTAAGCAAAAGATAACACAGATTTGCGGGGATGAATGCGCCATTCTTAACTTGCATATTAAAGTATTTGCATTAGAACAAAAGGTACTTTAGGTTTACTTCAAAAACTAGACTCCTATTGCTGGCTGAGAGACACAGGGAGACAACCCCCATAGCCTTCTATAGGGCCCTACTGTGTATGCGTGACCAGGAGAGGGAGGACTTTGGTGCTGGATGTAAACAAAGATGGGAGGCCACGGGCATCGGATCTTGGTAAGTATACATCCACGGAGGGGGAGGGTGGGCTTTGTTAGGTTAGGGGAGGGTGCAAAAAGAAAAACTGCACTTATTCTTTAAAGCTGAGCTCCGGCCCTCCCTTCATTCTTGCACGGTTGTACCGGCTCCTCTCCTGGACTGATATTGTGATTTCACTGCACACTGAGCTTTGTACATTAGATGCTGCAGCAAGTCAGACAGAGCCCCCCTCATTTCCTGGCTGGAAGATGTCCACCAGGGAATGTAAAATAGAAACAGATCTATACATATGTTTGTTAAAATGAAATCTTATGTAGTGTTCATGGCTTCTGAGCCCAGGTGTCTGTTGGGGATGTACTGTGTGGGCGGATGTCGGCTTTGTTACATCTGTCACCTTTTGTTGTGTCATTGTTACCTCTGTTCTGCTGTCATTGTCCTCACAGCTGTCCTAGATACTCCAAGCTAATCCCTCTGTGACATCAATGAGGAACTATACAGTCTATGGAGTATGAAAAGTGATATTGTCACAAGAGGGAACTCCTCTTTGTTCCTGAAATAAACATTGCTGATAATGTTACAGAGAGCTTTATTCAGTATATCGTTCTTATTCCTGAGTGGGGTAACCCACATCAACCAATCACAATCCATCTCTGGCACTGGTCTGACATCCACAGAATTCTTATTGGTTGCTATTGGTTTTTCCCCTAACAATGAACTTCTCTTATTTGCTCCCTTCTGGTCTAATAAAAGAGAACTATGAGGTAAGTGTTTTTCCCCATAGTTCTCTTTAGGGTCACAGGAAGATACTGTATATACTAACCTCCTCCCGTGACCCAAAGCGTAGTATATAGCGGGCTATTGCCCACTATATACTTGGAGCGCCGCAGCCGAGGCGGATCCCAACAATACTGTGGAGATCCACCCAGCTGCGTGAGTGACAGCTGGCTCTGCCTATCTAGAGGTGGATCCACCTGTGCCCACCCCGTTCGTTCCTCCACTCAGCTCTGGAGGATCGGAGAGGGGAGCCGGAAACCCTGCGGGGAGCAGTGACTGACAGTCACCGCTCTCTGCAGGGAGACGATCGGGAAGTGAGCAGATCGGCGGCATGTTTCTGATCACTTACCAATCGATAGAGCCGACCTGTGACAGCTTCTTCGTCACAGGTCGGCTCTTACAATAGGATGAGTGGAAATCACTCACCTCATAGATCTCCTTTAAAATCCCATTGAAAGTGCAAAGTGACAGTGTATCTTCAATCTTACCATTGCCTATCCTTCCTCGCAGTTACTTACTCTTCCATAGCCGTCTCTGAAATCAGCTGTTTTGGTGACCCATGTGAGCGGTGACCCTGGGGAGCGGAGAGGGGTCAGGCCTAGCAGTTCGCTGCATGGTACAGGCAAGGGGAGAAGGCCAGATGCTCTCCTATAGCTAGGAGTACCAGGTATACTCAGCGGCTGTCAAGAAGCAAGGAGCTCTATGGTAAGGTGAGTATAAGGGGGTGGGAGGACCCCTGATCACCTTAGGTTGGGATACGAATGAGTGAATTAGAAACTGAATGTCACGTACCTGGAGTGAGACCGGATGGAGGAAGTGGCGCCCCTTGCTTTCCTTGTCCAGTATCCCTGGATGTGGTGACAGGGAGCACAGGACACAGGGCAGCACTGGTGCCTGAACTGAAGCTGACCAGATGCAGGATACAGAAGACAGAAGCCAAGTCGGGGTCACGAGCCAGGGTCAAGCCAATCGGACAATGGAAGTACCAATTCAGAAGCGTGGTCAAGAGACGAGTCAGGGTCAGGAGCCAAAGGTCAGAGCGGGTACAGGCAGGAGGCAAGACAGGTCCAAAGTAAGGCCGAGGTCGCAAGGGTATGAAGCAGGCAGGAGGATAATCAAGGCAAGCCGGGTCAGAAACTGGATACAAATCACAAGGAACACCTGAAGATCAATCGGCAAGGAGGAAGTCCTGCGTGCTTGTTTATATATGGTCCCCTTGATGTTATTTTCTGTGTGAAACCTTGCTGGAAGGCGCACGTTTACCTTTCTCCTTCAGTATAGGTTTCCGGGCATGTGCAGAGATACGTGCCAAGCCTTGTTGGTACTGAGCAAGGGCAGGAACTTTCGAATGAACAGGACTTTTCTTATATCGAAGCATCGCAGTACAATATTCATATCCGAATCAAAGTTTGCCCTAATGGTAGTTTCTTTACAAAGCCAATGCAGTTTTGGGACTGTACCTCCCTTCATCAGGGCTTAGAAGGTTAAATTGTGTTATGTGGACTCAATATTCAGTCAATAGTTGGTGTGTACTTAACCTGAGCCTGCACAGCAATCCTTCAGCAGCTGCTTCATGCTCAGCTGCTGGGACTTGTAGTTGTGATTATTATTTGCAGCCTGTCCTTTCTCCTTTGAATACCTCAGCTCACTGTTGTTACTGTTTTACAGCTGGAGCAGATGGACCTGGAAGTGCGGGAGATTCCAGCTCAGAGCCGCGGGATGTACAGCAACCGTATGAGAAGCTACAAGCAGGAGATGAGCAAACTGGAGGGTGACTTTGTGAGTGTTGTCATGTCATTGACTCTTTGTTCTACAGATATGGGAGATGTCAGTGAAGGGAAACTTGTCACTAGTACAAAAGTTAAAGGGTGATAGAAAGGCGCCACAAAGTGGCATTATATACACAATACATTCTCTGGGATCCCTTCTACATTGTATGGCCAAAGGTTTTGGACTCCGCACCATCAAACCTATATGAGGTTGTTGGCTGTCCCATTCCTAAACCATTGTCAGTAATATGGAGTTGTCCTCCCGTTTCTGGCTATAACATCCTCCAGTCTTCTGGGGAAAAATATCAACAAGGTTTTGGAGAACTTCTGGGACTTTGTGCCTATTTGTGAGGTCAGGTACTGATGTAGGATGAGAAGACCCGGCTCACAATCATCGTTCCAGTTCTTCTCAAAGGTGTTCAGTAGGGTTGAGGGTCAGGGCTCTGTGCAGGACACTCGAGTTCCTCCAAATTGGTCACACCATGTCTTTGTGGAGCTGGCTTTGTACACAGGGGACAGTCATGGTGGGACAGAAAAGGGTCTTCACCAAATTGTCACCACAAGGCTGCAAGAGCTCAATTGTCTACAATGTCTTTGTGTCATGGAGCATTAAAGGAGAACTATGGGGTTAAGTCTTTTCCCCATAGTTCTCCTTAGGGTAACGGGAGGACACAAACTAGCGTCCTCCCGTCACCCTAAGCTCAGTATACCGCGAGCTGTAGCCGACGCTGCAGCTGAAGTGGATCCTGACAATTGTGCGGGGATCCGCCCAGCTGCGTGACTGACAGCTGGCTCTGCCTATCTAGAGGCAGAGCCAGCTGTTCCCGCCCCCTCCCCTGTCCGTTCCGCCAGTCAGCGCTGGAGGATCGGAGCGGGGAGGGGGGAATCCAGCCCCTCCCCTGTCACGGCAGAGAGTCACGTGACAGGATCGAGATGTGAGCGAACGCCGGTATGTGCTCGCTCACCTCCCGATCTACTGAGCCGACCTGTGACAGTCTCATTGTCACAGGTCGGCTAGAACTATGAGGTGAGTGAAAAGCACTCCCCCTCATACTTCTCCTTTAACAAAACCCTTCACTGGAGACTCAATCCTTTGGAGGGGGATCCACATATGTTTAGCCATATGGGTAGGTGAGATGGTCAGGTCACCACTTACCTTTGGCCATAAAATATTCACAGTATGGGCCCCAGAAGTTCCTATCCCAGGGAAATGCCAACTCCTTCATATCAGAGCTTACTAATGGATGCCGATGGTAAAAGACACATGCATTGACACAGTATCCTACTCGAGTTCAGTTGTTGTTATGTGATTGCCATGTAGCTATAGGACCGGGCGTTCCCTCCTCGTGTCAGCAGCGATTGTAGAGACTCCTCCAAACGTTTCTACCCACAGATCGGATCTTGCCCTGTGGCAGCATTGCAAAGTCTCTGCTAGGTTTGTACATGTTGCACCAAACTTATTTGGCTCCTCCTGCGTGTAGTCAGTCATAGCATAGCTGCATGCCATTAGATCAAAGGTTGTCAACTTACAAGGTATAGGGGGTCTTAGCTTGCGGCCCCTGACATCACCAAAGGGCCACACATAATGCTCAGTATATGTAATAAGGCTGAAGATACTGTCACAGATCACTTGCAGAGCTGATCTGTGCTTCACATCTTTGCATTTGTTTTTTTACCTTTTGCTGCTGTAGGTCTGCTGGCACTTGTGGTTCCACAAGCTTGTGCTCTGCTCCTGCTCCACTGACTTAAGGTCCCCACACACGTTACGATAATGGCGGGAAATCCCGCGATCGTACGATTATCGTAAGGTGTGTGGAAGCCGTGCGACCTCTGCTACTGTAAGGTCGCACGACTGTAAACTTACGAACATGTTTCAAAACCCGCCGAGCATCGTACAATTTTCGGCAGGTGTGTAGCATGTTCGTGAGATAAAAGCCGGGCGGGCCGGTGTGCGCAAGCGCACACTGCCCGTTCGGCATTGTGGTCATCGGAAGCCCGCCCCTCGGGGCGTGGCTTGCGATCATCGCAAGTACGATCTGCCTATGCAAGATGGGCCGATCGTAGGTTTTTTTTAAAGTACCTTACAACCATCGCAAGACAAAAGTCTTGCGATGGTTGTAAGGTGTGTGCCCAGCCTTAGCAGCTATGGGTGTCGCCTGCCTCACCCGATGGATAATATACCTCCCTTCCTGCTACTTCCTGTCCAGCCTCCCATGTGTCTCCCTATTTAAATCCCCCTCTGACCGGTTTCTGGTTGCTTGAGCAACGCTTGTTCCTGAGCCCCTTCTGTGCATTTGTTCCTGACCTGATCTCCTGTGAATTGATCTCTCGTGTACCGACTCGGCTTGTTCTCCTGTTTAGGATTGTCTGCTGCCTGCCCTGACATTTGGCTCGTTATCTGGATCTCCTTTCGCTCCATCCATCCATCCCTGCCTGCGCTGTGTCTTCGAATACTCTCCTCGCGTGCACGCTGAACCTGGGGGTCGAGACCTGGGGTCAGCACGCAGCTAAGTCCAAATTTCTGCGAGGGAGTCCCTGACGGAACACCGGCTGGCCCTTAGATTCCACCCCCCTGGGGATCCTATGTCACCCGCTCGCCTGTGAGCTCACAACCCTAGTACCGTGACAGATATTCTAGACAAAATGATGCTCAGAGCCTGTGGACATGCTACGGGTTTGGTCGGAGACTTCTAACCTGAGGCTAGTAGAGATCCGGCTATTACCCCATTTACAAATCCCACTCCATCTACAGACTGCTGGGCTCCTAGGGCCGCACAACAAGTACCAAAGGGCCACATGTGGCCCTCAGGTTGCAGGTTGGGCGCCAGGACACTAGATCTTAGTGAACTGTGAGTTAGCGTATGTCTGCCCCCATTCTGTACAGATGACAGGTGCACACCAAAAGCATTTCCATTTCACCAATTTGACCACTAGAAGGGTTGAGAACATTTTTACCCGGAGTTTTGCTTTAATGCTTGGAACAAATCTCATGACTGGGGAATACCTTGTGCCAAGTTAGGAGCAGAATCCTACGTTTGTGCTTTCCTAATTACAATGATTTATGTAGCGCCAACATATTCTGCAGCGCTGTACAATCGTTTAGACAAGTAATGCTGGGCACACACCTTGTCTTGCGATGGTTGTAAGGTACTTAAAAAAACGTACGCTCTGCTTATCTTGGACAGGCAGATCGTACTTGCGATGATTGCAAGCCACACCCCCCTGAGGGGCGGGCTTCCGATGACCGCAATGCCGAACGGGCAGTGTGCGCTTTTATCGTACGAACATGCTACACACATGTTCGAACATGTTCGTAAGTTTAAAGTCGTGCGACCTTACAGTAGTAGAGGTCGCACGGCTTCCACACACCTTAATCGGATAATCGTACTATCGCGGGATTTCCCGCCATTATCGTACGATTATCGTAAGGTTTGTGGGCACTCTAAGAAACACTGGCAAGCATCATTGACATACAGACACAGCAGGTGAGGAGGACCCGGCCCAAAGGAGCTTACAGTCCAAGAGGAAGGGGACCGAAGACACAGAGGTGGGGAAGGATACTTTGATGCTCCGTCCCTCTTTATTGTGTTCAGGGTTAAAGGCTCACTCCATGTATTTTGTAGCACGTTGCATGTTACACTTATGTTTAGATTGTATCGTGAAGCATGGCCACCATACACCATCCCCCTTCCCCCAATCCCCCCCCC